TTGTTGGTGGGATTCTTGAAAGCAGTTTGACATTTCCTCATAAAGCTGAGCACAGACATTCCATTTGACCCAGCTATTCCACTGTTTAGAATATACCCTGAGGAAATGAAAATTGAGGCACAAAGACTTGTATGCCAATATTCCTAGCAACATTATTCACCATAGCAAGAACATGGGAACAGCACAAATGCCCAATCACAATGGAATGGATTGAAAAAGTACGGTACATTCACATGATGAAATACAGTTTGCAGTATGCAGGAGCAATAATTTTATAAATTACTACCTGAGACAGGAGGGACTAGAGAGCATTATGCAAAGTGAACTCAGTCTCATAAAGACAAATACTGTGCAAGACCATCATTGCAGAACAAGTAGAGAATCCAAGGAGGGGAGAGGTGGAGCTTAATCATAGGGTCACATAATTTGATGGGTGCAGGGATGGATGGGTAAAGGAGAGGGAGAAGATCCAGTGTGGAAAACAATGCATACAAATTTTATGAACTTTGTAAGTAAACCAATATTTAAAAAGTTATGAAAAAAGAGGGGGAAAATGGGCCAAAGATATGGAAAGACTTTTCACAGAGGAAGACACTTACAGGGCTAACAGACACATGGAGAAATGCCTAAAATCACTGGCAATAAGTGAGATGCAAATAAAAACCATAATGAGATAGCAACAGCAAAGTTCAACAGGACAGCAAGTAATAAATGTTGGAGAGGCTGTGGAGAGATTGGAACTCTTAAACACTGTTGGGAGGGTTGTAAAATGATACAACCACTCTGGAAGGCATTTTGGCATTTCCTCAAAAATCTAAATATATAAATTCTATATGACCTTACTAGGAATACATTCTGAGGAAAATAGAAGCGTGACACAATTGGAAATTTGTACATCAATGTCATAGCAGTGTCATTCACAATAGCAAGAATGTGTAAGTAGCCCAAATTTCCATCAATATATGAATGGCTTGAGAAATTGTAGTATATTCATACTATAAAGCACTAAGGAATAATGATTTTTTACAAAAAACCTATATAACATGAGACAGGGTAGAGAGCATTATGGTGAATGAACCAACTCAGTCTCATAAGGTCAAATACTGTTTAAGACCATTATTGTAAAAATAGAAGGCTTACTAGTAATATGTATACCAAAGTCCAAGTGGGTAGGGGAGGTAAGAGTTGGGCTCAAAGTGGGGAGGGGGGAAATCTCAAGGGTGCTAAGTTTGGTGGGCAGAGCTAGGAGGTGAAGAGATTAGGGAATATCCAGTGGGGACTTGAAAAGGTGGGGTAAAGATGGGCATGTGCCAATGGTGATTAATTTTATAAAACACAATGCATGAGAATGATAATGTGAAACACAGTGTGAATAGAGGAATGCATGAAACACAATGTATATAAATGAAATACAATGTATACTATTTTTAAATTCAAACCAATGGGGGGAAGAATGAAGGTTTGGGTCACCCCATTAGGCAAAATCATGACTAAATGAGGTACTCACTGAGATAAAAGTAATATGAGAAGCAATGATGTCAGTCTGAGGAGTAAGGCGTGCCTGATTCAGGCCATGGTATTTTCAGTCACTTGCTATGCATCTGAGAGCTGGACAGATAAAATAATGACAGAAGAATTGACACCTTTGAGTTGCCATGTTGGAGTGATGAATATCCTATGGACTGCCAAAAGAAACATGTATGCCTTAGAAAATGTGTAGCAGCCAGAATGTTCCTTGGAGGCAAAGATGATGAAGCTTTGTCGTACATATTTTGGACATGTTCCTAGGAGAGGCTATTCCTTGGAGCAGGACATCATGCTTGGAAAGGCCTAGGAATGTTGAAGGAAGAGGAAGACCCTCGATCAAATGGGTTGACACAATGACTACAGCAATGGGCTTGAGTGATCAGAGTGTGAGGATGACATAGGGTAGGATGGCGTTCAGATCTATTGTTTATAATGTTGCTATGAGTTTTATTCAACTGGATGGCACCTAACAACAACAACAACAACAATATCCATTAATCCCATCACAGCCCTCATCTAAGAAGAGCTTCCTTATAATGGTGGGTTTTTTTATGTTACAAGAATTAAAAAGAAAGGAAACTAAGCTGAGAGTGGGGATGTCACTATATGCCATCAAGTTGGAACCGAGTCATAGCTGACCCTCCAATAGGTTTGCAGATAATGTAAATCACACATGAGAAGAATGTTCATATTTCTCCCAAGGAATATCTGCTGGATTGGAATTTGATGCCTTTGGGTTGGCAGTACAGCTCCTTACCACTAAACCACCAGAGTTCTTACAGGAGTGGAGTACATTCTTTTAGACCCTGTCTCGTTTTTGAGAAAGCTCCTCAACACCAGAGAGGCCAGGATACATGGAGATCTCAAAAAACACCTGGCCTATGAAGGCTGACAGATAAATGGAATTTTTTTTCTCCACTGCCAACAGACAGAGCAGGCCTTTCTCTAAAGTTGGCACCTTAAATGTACACTTTTTCCTAATCTTTATTTTACTATGCAAAGATATTTAACTATGTAGATCACAACAAATTGCGGCTAATCTTGAGAAAAGCGGGAATCCCAGAACACTTGGTTGTGCTCATGTGAAACTTATATTTAGACCACGAAGCAGTCATCATAACAGAGCAAGGAAACATTTGGTGGTTCAAAATCAGGAAAAGACTGTCAGAGATGCGTCCTGTCTCCATACCTTTTCAATCTATATTCAGAACAGATCATTTGGGAGGCTGGATTTTATTAGGAAATATGTGGCATCAGGATTGGAGGAAGACTCTTCAACAGGTGGTGTTATGCAGAACACATAACCTTGTTTGCTCAAAGTGAGGATGAACTGAAATATTTGCTGCAAAAGGGCAAGGACTGTTGTCTTTAATATGGATTGCAGCTCAACATCATGAAAACAAAGATTCTCACAAACTGGGCCAATAGCACCATGAGAGATGGAGAAGAGATTGTTAAAAGTTTCAGCTTGCTTGACTCTATCATCGTTATTGGCACCAGCAGTCAGTAACAAATTGCACTGGGAAAATTGCTGTCAAGGACTTCTCTAGAGTACTAAGAAGCAACGATGTCAGCCTAGAGATTAAGGTGTGCCTGATCCAGGCCATGGTCTTCATGATTACTTGCTATGCATCAGAGAGCTGGACAATGACTAAAGATGACAGAGGATGAATTGATGCCTTTGAATTGTAGCAGTGAACATAACATAGATTTTCTAGAGAACAAGAAAGCAGGTTGCTCCTTAGAGGCAAGGATTTTTTTAAATTTATTTATTAGTTTTAATGTAAGTTTACAGAGTCATTCATTGTTGCACTTTTCTCCCTGCCCACCCCTTCCTCCCCAAATCACTCCTCTCTTTGAAAAGAAAAACTCTTTCATTGTTATGTAATTCTGTTTTCTTTCAACCCTGATGTCAGTCCCATTTTACAACAGTGGACCTATGCAATATTTGTCCTTCTGTGACTGAGATATTTCACTCAGTATAATGTCCTCCAGGGTCATCCATTTTGTGTAATATTTCATGAGTTCTTTGTTTTCCAATGCTGCATAATATTCCATTGTGTGGATATACCAGAGTTTCTCTAGCCATTCATTCATTGATGGCACTTGGGTTGTTTCCAGCTCTTTGCTAAAGTGAGCAAAGCCGCAATAAACATGGGTGTGCATATATCTGCTTGGGTGGCAATTACAGTTTTTTTAGGGTAAATTCTCAGTAGTGGAATAGCTGAATCAAATGGAATTTCTATGGAGGCAAGGATTTTGAAGCTCCATCTCACATACCTTGGGCATGTTTCCAGGACAGACAAGTCCTTGGAGAAGGACATCATGGTGGAGGACGAGCCTAGATGAAATGTATTGACACAGTATCTGGGGATATGGAGGTAGGCATGTTGGAGATGGTGAGATTGGCTTAGAGGGCAGGGTTCAGAGGTATTGTTCTGAGGGTCACTATGAGTTGTAGTCAATAACACATAACAACAACAATCACCTAATCTGTAAGAGAATAAATTTCTGTTCATTAATGCCTATGACATTTGTGGTATTATCTCTTTCATTGCTACTGAGTGAGCTTTCTTTCTTTCTTTTATTATTGATATTTTAACAAAGGTTTACAGAAAACTTGGATTTCCATTCATTTATGGTTGCACATTTTCCTCCCTATCCCATCCCCAGTTCACTTTTCTCTTTAAAAAGATTCTTTAATTTTTGTACAATTTTCTCCCTCCCCTTACCCCACAGTCCACTTTGCTATGCACCACTTATTCTGGACTATTTTAATGCAAATAATATATAATCTTCTGTTTCTTTTAGACAGTGATTTCCCTCATCTGTTTCAATGCAGCACTCATTATTTATCACACATCACACAGGAGGACATTGTCTATTTTCCTCCAGAAGGACAGCTGGTAGATGGGAAATGACTGTCTTTGGGGTTGGCTGTGTAACTTCTTATATCCCAGACTACCAGAGTTCCATAAAAAGGAAAACATCTGTGCTGAAAGAAGTATAGCCAAAATCCTCCTTGGATATAAGGATATAACTTTGTTTCATGTACTTTGGACATAATATCAGAAGGGACCAGTCACTGGAGAATTCATCCTCTTAGTAATGTAGAGGAGTGGTTAAAAAGGGGAAGAGTATTAAGGAGATGATTATGAAATACATTGTCCAGGAAGCAAAATATCATTAAGCAGAAGTAGCTTCTCCCTTCCTTTATCCCCTTTTTTAGAAGGGTGCACAGTCCTAATTCATGAAAAGACAGATTTTAAGCTTCTTTTAAACAGTCTTCCTGCACAGGAGAGGAAGACCCCAGATGAGATAGATTGACAGAGGATCTGGAGGGTAAGTGTGTCAGAGACAGTGATATTGGCCTAGGATAGAGCAGGGTACAGATATATTGGACATAGGGTCACTATAAGTTTTGGTAGACTCAATCACACATAACAACAATAAACAACAAGGGGGATACTTACTCATATGTCCAGCACAGCTTCATCAGCTCATACATCTCTCTTGGACAGCCTGGTGGGCACCCCATCCTTTCTCCTTTTTCCAACATAGCAGATACTTCACTTCCTTTCATTCCCTAGGAATACACAAAATGTACTGTGCCTTTTAAACTATACTGTTCAACAAAACAAAATGCCAATCACTCATTCTCCCCAAAATGAAAAGGCAAAAGAGTTTATGATGCATTATTTCAATATATAAAACTAAAAAACTGGTGGATTTCACTTTCATGCTAGAGGTTAAGTTTGTTTACTGTTAGGTAAGGATCTGTGTCTTCACTAGATAGGGTGGAGAAGGGGCTTCTAGAGTGTTACTCCCTTTCTTTAACCGATGGTTGTTTTCATAGGTGTGTTCCATTGGTGAAAATTCATTCAGCAGTTTCCTAGGACTTATGTACTTTTCTTTATATATACTAAAATCTAATTAAAAATGTAGCTGAATTGAATATTTGAGATTATACAAGACCATTGTTTATATTTTAACTCTCATTGATGACTAGGGTATATATCTTATTCATATTAATAAGTACTGTACAATGGGGAAAATACATAAAGTTTAGTTGAGTCACCTATTTCTTGATCAATTTAGAGTAAAGTTAATGTTAAAAGGCAGTGCAAAACTTTGAACAGGTACACAAATTATGTGATTCTTGATTTCTGTAAATACAATCTGTTGGCCTTTGGCCATACAATGGCTACATAATTAAAAAAATAAAAGCAAACAACAAATTGAGTGACTTACTCTATACGGCTTCTGCCCATAGGAAAATGCTTCCCACATCAATACACCGAAGCTCCAGACATCACTCTTGCTGGAAAACTTGTAATAGTTGATGCATTCTGGAGCATACCACTTTACAGGCCACTTCCCATGAGTCTGGGCCTGCAAGCAAGTGGAGTTGTTTTTGATTTTAGTTGCAGTTGAGTTGATTCTGACTCATGGTAACCCCATGGGTGCAGAGGAGAACTGTTTCATAGGGTTTTCCAGGCTGTGGTCTTATAAAAATAGATCTTCAGCACTGTTTCCCAAGCTTTTGAGCAGTTGAACCAACAACTGAGCCCTTAATTTCCACTGAGAAATAACTAACTTGAAAAGCATAAGGAAAAATAAAATCTAAAAGTAAGAAGTTCTTTGGAGATGATGTAGGAGTAAAGCAATGGAATCTAATTTTATGCAATGATGAGTAATCAAATGCAACCATTTATACAGCAAAAAACAAAACAGGTAACTGGGTCCTCATCAACAATATATACTAAAAGTTCATAAAAAACAGAGAGACTAACTATAGACTAGGAAAGAACATTTGTTTGGAATGACATAATTGATAAGGGTCTAACATCTAAAATACATTAATTTATACAATTTAACAAGAAAAAGATAAATAACAATTAAAAAACTAGACAAAGCACATGAATGGATAATTCACTAAATAGGATATCAAAACGGGCAGAAGATACATGGAAAGATATATACACAACATCATCAGCCACGAGAGAAACGAAAACCAAAACTACAGTGAGATGCTATCTCACTTCCACTAAGTTAAGATTAACAAAAACATAAAGAAAAAAAAGGAAATAACCAGTGTCGTAGGGGATATGTACAAACTGGAACTGTCATCCACTGCTAATGTTGTTGTTGTTGTTGTTATGTGCCGTCGAGTCGTTTTCGACTCATAGCGACCCTATGCACAACAGCCCTAAACCCTGCTCTATCCTGAGCCAA